AGGTAATTAATCATTCTTTATCATCATTTTTCACTTTCGTAACAATATTTCATCAAGCCTTATTTATTCAAGGCATCACTTTGATAGAGTAAGTTCATGATCATGGATTTTACGATCTTGGTATTACAGATCAATCACAACAACATATAAATCATTCAAACCACAATAATTAAGTAAGTAGAATATTTTATAACATTACTCAATGACTATCAATCACTATTAAGAGTCTCTCTATCACATAGAATAAACCATAATCTACCTCAATCGAAGAACCATAGTCAAACAGGCTAATTCCCCAATGCTTTTCCTTTTCTCAATGTCTCAGAACGTTTTCAATATATCAAGTATACAATATTCGTAAGCAAACGAGTCCGTAGACACTCATATTACTATATTTCTAGCCTAGACTTAAAAAACTCACTCAAACCTATAATCAATTTCCTAATTTTTTATGCCAACTAATATATCAAGTCTCATATTTCATAAATTTCAAGCCTAGAATTAAGTCTCAATTTTCTCCAAATATCATAATTTAATGATATTTATATAATATAATATATCTAATATTTAATTACATATACCAATATATCAAAATTTGAATCATAATATAATAACTATTAGAAACAAATTTGGAAAAAGACCCACGCGGCACATTATGGACAATTCACGAAAAACTAATCATTTTTGCACCTCAGATCATACACTCTATTGCAGCAACAACATATATATAACATCACCTTTGCCAATATCCCTTTTCTTTTCTTCCCAATCCAATTATTATAGTAATGAAAGGATTTTTCATCTATCAGAAATTATCATTTTAAAACAATATTGAAATTCAAATGTTTATGCTTTGTAGTTCGTGCACAGGTAACTCTTTTCGTCTGTCTTTTAATTATTTAGGGCAATTATTATGAACTAATCATTAAATAAATATTAAAATTCCACTAATTTCTTCCTACATATGGGTCATGCATGTGATAAGAGTACTATATAAATTATGGACATGACTCATTAACCACCAACTAATAAAAAATAACTATTTAATAAGTACCCATCAAATAAATAACGGTAGTTAATCGAATAGTTCAAAATTCTGATTTAAAATTTACGGGAAGGTTTTTTTATGGAAGAAGTAGGTCTAGTATTCGAAATCACCTAAATGGTCGTTACATTAGATACCAATTTACCCACCATTCTTTCCGAATGGTCAAAAGTAAGGCGAGGGTAAGAAAGGGTACCTGACTTGATGAAAATATGTGGATATCTTTCATGCATATCAGCCTCAGTCTCCCAAGTGGACTCTTCAACCGACCGATTCTTCCACTGGACCTTGATAGATGTAATCTCATTTGACCTCAACTAGCGGACCTCTCTATCTAGAATAGCTACACACTCCTCCTCATAAGACAGATTCTCATCAAGCAGGACCGAATCCCAGCGAATAATATAATTTGTATTACCATGATATTTCTTCAATATAGACAAATGAAATATCAGGTGTACTCCGAAAAATTCTGGAGGCAAAGTCAACTCATAGGCCACCTCTCTCACACGTTTAAGAACTTCAAATTACTCAATATACCTCGGACTAAGCTTACCTCGCTTACCAAATCTCATCACACTCTTCAAGGGTGAAACCTTCAGCAACACTTGTTCTCCCTCCATAAACTCCAAGTCCTTGAACGTCCAGTCTGCATACTCTTTCTGCCTGCTCGCAACTACTAGAAACTTCACTTGAATGAATTTCACCTTATCTAACGATTCCTCCAAATGATCAGTACTCCAAGGTCTCACCTCAAATACATCAAACCAACCAGTGAAAAACCTGCATTTCCTTTCATACAATTCCTCAAATGGAGCCATATCAATACTTGAGTGATAGTTATTCTTGTACGAAAACTCTGACAAGGGTAAGAAATGATCTCAATGACCACTAAAATCTATCACGCACGCATGAAGCATATCTTCCAACACTTGAATTGTCCGCTCAGACTGTCCATCGGTCTGAGGGTGAAATGTGGTACTAAGATCCAATCTAGTACCTAACTCAGCCTACAAGGTCCTATAAAAGTTAGAAGTAAATTGCGTACCTCTATCTAATATGATGGAAATCGAAACTCCGTGCAATCGAACAATCACGCGGATATAGAGTTTTTACCTTCCATGGAAAATATTTCCATTCATACCAAACACACTCTAAATATGTACTTTTAGAGGCAATTAACACTTTTTGTAAATGTCCCTAAAATCTATAGCAATATTAGATCTAATGACAACCAACTATTACCGATAAAAACTTTAATTTTTCTTTCTTATAATGGTTGAAGATAGAAATTAATCTTCAGTTTTGGTTTGTTCACAAATTTTTAACGCAGCCGCACAGGAGTACTAACATATGTGAAATCATCTTCTTCTTTTTTTAAAAAAATAAATAGCAACGAGTCATAGTAACAAATTTCCCATGAAAATTTTACCGCTAAATATGTATTATCAGAGGTAATTCTTTTTAAATATTTTTAAAGTCTATAACGATATATATTAGATCCAATAATGACAATTAGCTTATGTTGATAGAGATTTTAATACTCTTTGTTAATGTATATATTATTGTCGTTAAAAACTGCTATTGTGATAGTGACATTAAAAAGTCTTTTCTAATGTCCCATGCGATAACCATACTGACTTGACTTCCACTTTAATTATTGAATTAATTTCCAATGTTATTACGTGAACACAAGACTATACTTTAATGTCAAAAACTATATTTTTTAAAAAGGATTTACATCAAATTATTCTAATTTATCATGATTATAAGTTACCTACCGAATGAAAATAATCATGCATTAATCAACTATCATTTAGTTATAAGAATTATGTGAAGATATGTATCATTTATTTAAAACTATTTAAACATCGGGCACAAGTGAATTGTATAAACATTTTATGTTAGTATTTGCTTACTTTTTCTTATCAAAGGATATTTTGTATAATTATTCAATATTCGATATTCATTGGTTCTATTAATCTAAATAGTGTGATTTGATCAAATTTGATCGATTTGCCCTAAAAAAACAAGAAGTTAAGATCCGGGAGAAATAATATCAACCAATTAACATCCCTCCGACGCATTCGTTATGATTATCTCATACCTCTTTTTTCTTTTCGTATGATTTTCACATAACTCAATCAAATCATATCGTCGTAAGCTTTATTACAAGAAATACCCTTCCTACCAATTATTTTTGTTTTATAAAAAAAGGGTTTTGAAGTCTATCATCAAGTTAATATGTAAGGTCCAAGTCACTAAAGATTGTGACATTTTAAAGACATACAAAATTGTGGAATTACGTATTGAAGCAACAATAGTCTTGAGCACGTGTTCCACCTCATTCCACGTTTATTGACCTTTGGGATTTTGACTCATTTCTCTAATTTGGATCTAATTTATTTATTTATTTTGTTGTTGGTTTTCACTTTTCAAGATATATTTTTATTTAAATTTAAATTGGCTGAATAAATAGCATATTTTAGACTTTATTTTAGATGACATTATGTAATATCTTAGAAGAGTTAACGTCTCTAATTGAAACTAATGGGCATCAAATGTTATTACATTAGGAAAGTGCACCTACAAAACAATAACCATTTTAATTTACTTCTCTATGTGCCCTCAATTTTTCCATCATTTTGCTTCATCATGATTTACTTCCTCTATTCTATCTTTTAATTTTCCTAGACTAGGTGAGTAGAAGAAAAGTCAAATTATCCATTCAAAATTTTCGAATGAACCCCTCGATCCTATTTAGCTTCATCCTGGTCGCAAGATTCTATATCAGCTACATATTCTTGTATGTATTATGTTGAATGTATAATCAACTCATACCAAGACCTTGAAGATATTGCAGATTACTATATATGTCTTTGTCAAATTTAAAATCAATACTTGCAAATGTCACGATCTTGATGCACTTCAACTTCTTCAATAGAGAGATTGAGACCATTTAGATCACTTGTCCATCACTTTTAAAATAAATACTACTTCGATACGAAATATATGATAGTAAAGAGAATTTTGGAATTCAGTGATTTTAAGTTGAAAATATATAGTGATTTTAAGTTGAAAATATATCAAATGTATTAAAATATTTGTTTATCTTATGGTCGTAAATATGTCATGTTGAAAATTGGAACTAAGAGTTGTTAGAAAGGAAAAAAGACATTATTTTTTAAACTAACTAAAAAGAAAAGTAGGTTAGATTGATCACATTACTCTATTTTTCGAAGAAAAAGAAACTTTTGATAACAAACATTTTTTTCCAAGATTAGTAAAGTTTGAAAATTTGATCAAATAGGCTATTCAAATTTAGAGTGTTTGAGATTAGTATTTCGCTCTGTTTATCATCTTGTAATTTTTATGTGTTTACTTCTTTATACTTGAAACCCTCTTCATATAAATTTTGGCTCGAGCACCGCTCGAAGAAATTAAATACTCTCCAAGCACTTGCTTGAGACATTCATTTTCAAGTGAACTAGCATTGAAATTTTGCCACTTGGCCATACCATATGTCAATCTAGTAGTACTATTTTATATCAAACATTGGCCCAGGTTTATTTATTTTTTCTGAATTTTAACTTGAAAGATTATTTTGATGCATAATTAAGGATAAGATAGACCTTCAGTATCCATTAAATTAGCCATTTTTAAAAGAGTTAAAGACTTGAGGTCTAGAACTGGATTAATAATTAAGTCAAGAGAGATAGAGGTGAAAATCTTGAAAAATTAAAGATATATGTATTTATCTATCCATCTCTCTCAAGTCCTCCCTTATCCAATGCAAAAACATATATATATATATATATATGTATATGTTTATGATATAGTTCAAAATAGAGCCGTCTCATTTCCCTTTTTTATTTCTAATTCATTCACTTCAAGGTTGATTCTGAACACTATATAATATCATTAATTTTCAACCAACACTCAAAGCCTTATGGATATGGAAATTTCATCCCTTCAATTCCCAAATTATGATTTCTTGCTAGACGAATTTCGAATATGGGAATTTGATTCCGAGTTAAATGATCATGATCATATACCAAGAAGTTTGTCATCTTCAGAGACTACAAATTTCTTGAAAGGAAGTAACTACAATAAGGTGACATCATATTCCATCAAGAGAAAAGACGCAGATCATAAAAAAGAAAAAAATGAAGAAAAGCATTACATAGGAGTTAGAAAGAGGCCATGGGGTAAATATGCGGCGGAAATAAGGGATTCAACAAAAAAGGGAATTAGGGTATGGCTAGGGACATTTGATACTGCTGAAGAAGCTGCTTTAGTTTATGATCAAGCTGCATTTTCAATGCGCGGTCCTTTAGCACTTCTCAATTTTTCAACAAAAAAAGTCCAAGAATCACTAGAAAATATTAATTTATTTATCGAAGATGGCTCGTCTCCAGCAGCTGCTTTAAAGGAAAGATATAAAATGAGAATGAAAAATGTGAAGAGGAGAAATAGGAAGAAGAAGATGAAGAAAACAGTTTTGGTTTTTGAAGACTTGGGTGCTGACTTGTTAGAAGAACTTTTATTAAATTCAACAACATATTCAGAGTCATTTCAGAATTAGTAAGGTTTGCAAAATATAGAATGTACATAAATCTTATTTTTATTCTCCTCTATGATTTCATAAGTGAGGTTTGTAATTGATAAAATATACATAGATTTTATTCTTATCTTAAGAAACAAAACAAATTATAAATAATGCTTACAATTTAGTAAATTTGCTCCCCCACCCCTCCCATTTTTTTGTGGTGTAAAACATAAAATTCACTAAAGCTTCCAGAAAGCTGGCTGTCTTCATCACCGAAAGCAACATTATTGGAGGCCACATTTGGGAGAAGCTAATTAGATATTGACATATATTAGTGAGTGATGGGATGTGAGAGGTAGCTCACTAAGGCACATATCGATCGGTTCAGTTTGACTTATCGATTATCAATTTGTAAACATGTTAAATTATCATAGAACCATTAATATATTGACTTATTGATTATTATTTTATAGGTTATTGATCGTTATCGGTTTAACCGTTAAGATTTGACACAAGAAAATCATTGAAAATCAGTTAGAAACAAGATGACGAACCGAATGATGAACCATGCACATGAGTTGACAGATAACATCTTACTTAAAAGCAAACATTGTCACATTATAGAATAACAAAAAGTTTGAGATAGACAGAAATAAAAGTATGAACTCTAAGTAAGGGGATTTATATACCAAATGGTCTGAATATAATTATTTAATTTACTATCGGATTATCGATTAATCCGTTAAAGAAAAAACGTCAAGTTGTTACGAACCGAAAACCTAATAATAAAAAAGTCAATATCATTATCAAAACTGCTAAATCAATAACCCATTAACGATAAATCAATATTTTTTTTCGATTCATTTATTGATTTTTGTTCGATTTTGAACCGCACTAATGCAACAACCCAATCATATAGTAGCAGGAAGAATTGCTGGTAATATTTTTGGGTAGCTTTATATATAAATTAATTTATAATAAATATAATTATATTTTTTTTTTACATAAAAAATAGTCGAAAGTCAGAAAATATACGTTAGCTATACACTGACTATACATTATGATACACTCAAAAAACTGAATATAATTTACCTATACATGAGTTATACATTCACTATACATTGTGATACACTCAAAAAGTTGAATATAGCTTAATTATACATGAAATACACACTGACTATACATGAAGTATACACTGATTATTCAATCCCAACCAACTCAAAATCATATCTAAGCAATCCCTAATGTCATAAATGAAATCCTCTTGATTTTTCAAGTCTTTTGATATATAATTTCCTTAAAACGAATCACGTTAATTTAGCATATTAAATTTTAAAGAAGAAGACGTAGAAGAAAAAGAAAGAAGACGCAGAAGAAAGACGAAAAAGAAAGATTGCATTGGCCATTTTTTAGAGGAAAAAAAAAAAATTCTGCACCAACAAAAGTTTGATTATAATTTTGAAAACTCATTCAAACTCTGCATACACAGATCACGACTCTTCTGGTGAGTACACCATAGGAAGCATCAAGTTAACTATGCGCTCACATTTTGAATAATTTACTCTCAATATTTTCCAACAAGAATAGCTTAGGTTAAGAGGAAATGTTTTGGAAAAATAACATAAATACATATCTTATTTTATTATAATTTCTAAAATTTCTTCTTATTTAAAAAGTTATAAAAATCCCTTTCGGATACATTTCTATCCTCTCTCGAATACATCCCTATACCCTCTCGAATACAACTTTATCCTCTCTTTGATACATCCCTATCCCCTCTCAGATTCATCCCTCCCATTAAGTTAATGTATCATTCGCAATTTGTGAGCTATATGTCGACAAGTTTAATTCCCTGATGTTGTCACGCCCCAAACTCAAGGGGAACTGGCTCCTAATGCCAGAACTCAAGCCCGAGCCGATCCTGCTGAACCATTTGCTACTAGCGCATGGCAGCCACATGCAATCAAGAAAACAAACAAGTATATCTCGGCTTAAAATTAAGCCCTCGGCCAGCAAGGCTCCTGTCAACAGATATATAAAAAAAATAGCTACTCCCAAGAGTTCATGTAAAGAAATAGCCAACTAGCACATAAGTCCTGATTGGGCCGTCGAGACCACCATGATCTCTATACCGAAACTGAAAGCAGGTATATATATCAAGACAATACATCAAACAACTAACAAGCTTTCGAAAACCAACAAACTAGGCCAGCATGGCCATAACGTAACTATATACCCCACACACTAGTCTGCAAGCCTCTAAGAGTAGCAAAGATTGGCGGGACAGGGCCCCAGCTTACCCATAAAAATATATACAGCAAAAGCTAACAAACCTCCCAACTCTGGTAGCTCCGGAGGAAAGGGGCTAGCCAACCAGATAGAAGTCAATCCTTCCGCTGAGGAGGTCTACTGGGTCGTCTACCGAGACCTGCATGCATGAATGCAGCGCCCCAGGCAATGGGGCGTCAGTACGAAATAATGTACAGAGTATGAAAGGCAATAGACTATGAGCAGGTATCCTAATATACTGGAGTAATCTAATAAATAAATAAGGGATAAGATAAGTGTACTGACCTGCTCCTAAATCTAAACATATCAAAAATAATAAAACAACAACCTAACCAAGCCCTCATAAGCTCAGCAGGTACAAACAACACACAAGACCACCTACCTAGGTCCTCATAAGCCCAGAAGGTGTGAATCAGTCTATATACCCCTATCAGTAGTACACTAGCCCCGTAGGCAGTCACATAGCCCTCTTAGGCATTAATATAGCCCTGTAGGCAACACATAGCTCTCTTAGGCATCAACATAGCTTATAGACAACTCATAGCCCTCTTAGGCAACAACATGGCCTTGTAAGCAGCACATAGCCTTCTTAGGCATCAATATAGCCCTGTAGGCAACTCATGGCCCTCTTAGGAAACAACATGGCCCTATAGGCAGCACATAGCCTTCTTAGGCATCAATATAGCCCTATAGGCAACTTATATCCCTTCTAGGCACCAATATAGCCCCGTAGGCAACTCATAGCTCTGCTAGGTAGCCATATAGCCCCGTAGGCAAAACATAGCCCTTCTAGGCAGAGATCAGATTCCTGCAGCTAACCACAATATCCCCAAGGGCAACAATAATAATCCAATAGGCTAGAAGCGAGTAATTTAGCTATAAGCAACCTATATGGATACCCTCCAAGTCGTGTTCAACATAGGGAAGCTACTAACTGAATAAGAATCCCAACATGGGAGGATTATATCCACCGAGCAACCAACAATCAACAATAATGGCTACAAGTACAACAAGTATAACAACCTAATACATTGCTCCTAAGCTTTAAGGAAACATGTCGTAAGAAGGGAATAGCCTTAACATACCGTTTTCGCTGAATTCACGTGGCCTAACGACTTTACTCACAACCCCCCTCGATACTACAACAAGGCAAGACCATAATCAACACAAAAGAATAGAAGATACCACGATAATTCGATAAAAGATATGTATTTCCGTCGCAAATTGCTATTTGTGACTTATCAAAGGTAGAGTCGATGAAAGAAGGGTCTTACCTTGATTTTAAGTTCGTAATACACCTCAAAACTTAAAAATATGCCCAAACCCCTGCTGTCCACATACCAAAGTATGATATGCTAGGAAATCGATACAACAAATTATACCATGTTGACGAGCTCAACGCGTTGAACAACTTTTGTCAAGGACTTAAGTCACGAAAATCTGTAACTTGGCTGATCCTAGAAGTGGATTTTGTGAGTTATCTGATTTTTCACTAAGATAAATGAAGAAAAAATGAAGAAAAGTCGACGAAGATGATATATATAAAGTTCCACCGATCTAAGGGACCCACCTCACCTGCCTGCTTGCGCAGTCTTGCGAAAACGTGAATATCTCTCCATTCTGAAGTCGTATGAACAAACGGGTTGATGCTTTGGAAACTAGACTCGCAGACCTTCGATTTCATAGGTCATGGGCACCATAAATATTTATAGATTAGGAGAAAACCTCCGGGACATTTGACCCAAATTGCAGACAAATCTTTAAAAAGGAATTTACGGTAACTTTTGCCAACTTTTATTTTTCCACTTACCTAACTTCAAAACTTGAGACACAAACCTTGAACACTTAAAATATCACATAACACATCATTCTTAATTTATTACCCCACCCTCCTGGTCTTTCCACGAAGATACGAGTTAATTTAGACGTTTCGAAAAGTCGGGGTGTTACAAATGTATCCGAGATCATATAATTTTAAGAGATTTTTATAATTTGAAAAAGAATAGAAATAAGATGTAATTAGGTCTTAACACTATGAGATTTTTATATAATTTTTACAACGGTTTTATCTTAACAAGGAGCACATAATCAAATGTGGGTTGATTACATAAAGAGTTATTTAAAATAAAATTTACAAAATCATATAAGTTGCAATTGCTAATAATTTACCATATTTAGTTAGTATTTTTAAAAATCATAGTCTTAGAAATTATTTTTTTACTCGACAAATAGAAAAAGATACATAAATTGGAAAAAATGAGAAATTATTTATAGTAATAAATAAATTAAAAGTGTAACGTACTCGTAATCAGGGATTTACATCGGTCGAAATCATCTGTTTTATGTATTATCAATTTTGTTTATTTGTTTTTAGTTTGTGAACATGCTAAATCGACAACCAAATCAGTAAAATATTTATTATCAATTTTCTATCAATCGATTTTTATCCTTAACAATTCAATTTTTTATTTAATTAACCAGAAAAAATATTCATACAATCATATATACACAATGTTTATAAAATAGAAATCATAGCAAGAATAGAAGTGTATCACAAATTTTGACATAAACATGTTTGTTTAAGGCAGAATTTTGTTTGAATTTCTTCTAAGTATTCATGCTATTAAATGAGGAAATAACATTAATTGTTTGTCCTTTGTCACAATCAAATTTAAAATTAAGAAGAAAGAAGGTAATACTACTTTTTATTGAGAAGAGAAAGGTATCAGAAAAGAGAAGCTAGTGTG